ATACACAGTCTGATTCAAGATTCTTCAGTTGACTTTCTCGATCGCGAAGCTCCTCCTGTTGACTTGCCAGCTGGGCCGACAGATTGTTTCGCTCCCTCTGAAGGTGTTCAACATTTGATCGCAATTCACGAATCTATGAGTAAGTAAATATGGAAAGGAAAGTAGAGGTTTCTTACAAATAAATTATTAAAAATTCGAAGACTTGGACTGCATCTTGGTTCCTTGTATACCTTGCAAGATGACAGTCAAGATGGGTGAAAATATGTAGCTCTGAAGCGGCCAGAGCAGCATTGGCAGGGCCAAGCACGCGCTGTTAGTGGCTGGAATTGTTTTTATGCCATCAGTTAGATCACGAACACCACCGAATGAACGACATTGTATCCTCCCTTTAAGAGTCGGGTGTCAATTTTGGCAAAAAGTTCATGCGAAACAGCCACCCCACATAGCTGGCGAACCCCTATAGGGAATTACTCAAGAATTACCAAAGTGCAGAATTCCTGTTACTCGACTTGTCAAATCCATGCCCACCAAACGATCTATTTCGAGCTTGCAAACCATATCAATCTTAGTTTGACTGATTGCTTTCCTTGGATTGCGAATCAACCCTTAAAACTGCCAACCTTACAGTCCAAATAAGTTGGCCAGCTCAACCCTGACGTGCCATTTTGGCAGTCCGGCCTTTAAGGGATAAGGTTTCTCGATCATCAGCTGCCGTTTTTTATACGGCCGAATGCGTGGGTCCCATATTCGGATCTTAAAGACCAAATGAATTCATTCTATACTCAAAACCTATTGATTCGTTTTACAATCATATTACGGGGTTATTTCTTCCGGTCAAGGGGATAGCAGCTCCGAGGATGATCTGACGGTGCAGACTGATGAAAGGGACACAAATATAAAAAGGATACTAACATCTCTTTCCCAGACCATTGCCAGGGCTATATGTACGGCCAAAGATTGCGTTGTGCTTTCAGACTGCGTTCTCAATAACCCAAATAGCATATTACCGGCTAATTACTTTTTGCTAACGACACTAGACTTGCTTACGCATGAGCAAACTTTAGGCTTGTCTTTAGACCTGCAACTACAGGACAAAACGAAAAGGCCTATTTTTCTTCCGGCAATAAAGCTAGGTCAGCACATGTCATCCCTATGAAACCGAGTGTTCAAGATGCCGGCCAGCACGAAATTTGTCCGAAGTGCGGTCGTGAAAATTCCTTCTATCATCAACCCACTTGTGTCAGCAGTTGGAGTTGAGGCATGTCTGGCTGGCGAGAGCGGTTTAGCCCGAAACGGCTATTACAGTGTCCCTAGTCTTTCTCCGTAAGACTTTTGGGGCGAGGCTTATCTCTTTCCGAAACGACCGAATTGAATAATCGGTAAGTTCTCGACATTAATCCCTTATTTATTGAGAGCTGGCGTCCGCACCGCTGCAGCGTGTTCGACCATTCGCGTTCGGAGCTGTCTTCAGGCCAGCTCTCAAGTTGCGGCTCATTCGACGAGATCCGGCCACACACTCAAATTCGACGAGGCCGAAATTCTTGCAAGAGGTGACAACCGCGTCAGCTGGGAGCTGCTTTAGTCATGGTTTACTGGCCCCCAGTTCATTAACAAGTGCAATGACCTTCCCCTTCCATACTCGGTGCTGAAACTTCGCCTCGGCGGAGTAACTGGCCACGCGGGGAACGCACAGATGAACACTCTTCCCAAGGCCTGAGTCGGTGGGGCAGATAGTCGAGCAATCATCACACCAACATCCAACGCACGTGATGAAATTGCTGCAATTAACAACACGAATGTCGGCCATCGAACAGTCATCATACCAAGTGCAACGATCCCTGATGAAGGGGGGGGGGGAGGGAACCGTGAACATTCCTACGTATGAGGTAGCATGACGACTGCATCCTATAAATCTGCAGCCCCTTGTGCATGAATCACCCGTATCCGCTTTTGTCTCTGATGATGGCTTCGGGCAGGAATCCGAAACATCAGGCTAGTACAGCTCTTGTCTCAGCGATTGTGTCCCCTTCTTAACGACTGCTTCCTGGGACTCGTCTCTTCGCTTGTATTGGCAATATGACCTGATTGTTTACAAACGGCCTGACATCCCTCGCACAGCCTGCAAACTCGAGGTTACATATTCTCGCTTGGCCGCATCCGGCCAATCGAATTTCCCCAACGTCCGATGATGGGAACGTGTAATGTCAGGGTTATCGGTCCAGCATTGCAGATACTCTCATCTCACCTTAGACAATTTAGGGAGCCTATTTTGAAATATAAAGAACAGAAGTCGTAATATCTAGCGGAGACATTAACGTTTTTACACTTGCACCTTTTCAATCATTAAATCTGTCATTTAAAAAAAACTCAAAAGCGAAACCAGAATGGCAAAGGTACAATGAACTATCAGGGACCTACCTGCTGCTCTAGCTGCCGAGTCGAATCCTCCCTACTGGCAACATGCGCCTCCCTTTCTGCAGTGAGACGGACGCTCTCCCGCAGGGCCTGCTCAAGCTCCCGAATGCGAACCTCTTTCTCCGACATCATATTCTGAAGGAAAGACGGCGAAAAGTTGAGCTTGTGCATCCAGACAATAAAACTGCCACAAAGGATTGGGGATATTTTTTTAACACGTTGGCCAGAACTTTTAACGTGTACTCTTATATGGTTATAGGTTTGCGTGTAAAGGTTCAACGTGCAATCCTAGAGGTCAGATGGTGGCAACACTCGACATTCAGCATACCAGGGTAGCCGTTCATTGAGCAGGTTCAACTGTTGGATGTCATATGCACACCCTGCTTTGACTTAGGACCCCTAGTTGGTACCTTCGTCGGCAGTTGCGCAATAAGAAGCAATAAAGCATATCGAAGCAATGTTTTCCTGGAATAAATTTGAATAAGGCAAATGCGACAAGACATGCGGTATTTACTGACGTCATAAATTTCGAGACCTCTCATTCATACCTTGAAATGGAGGTAGATGGTCACTGACTATTTTGGCACGAATATTTCTTCAGTTCCTTGTCTGGGATGGCGATAATTATCGATGAATTTCGCCGGATACCCGTTTGCAAGAGAAATGTTCTTTAGGAAAGTAAGCTCGTCAACGATCGTATCTGAGGAGCAGATTCTGGTGGCTTTCTTGAAAAGGCACAAAACCTCGTTCCGTTTTCTCTGAATTGAAACGAAACTGAGAAAGTGCATGTATTGCCCTTTCCAGGTGGGTTATCGATAGATGGATCTCTGAATGGAGCCATCCGCCCGCCTACGTACAAGAATATCCAGGAAAGACAGTGTGTCATTCTTCTCATGCTCGATCGTAAATTTGATCTTTTCATGTTCTTTTTTCAGAGCCTTAAGTAGTAGTTCTCCGTCGTCTGGGTTTTTGACTATGGCGAAAATGTCATCCACATATCGCCTATAGAATGAGGTTCGTCGTAAGTTCCGGACTAGTTTTCGCTCTAAATTAGACACGAAAATGTCCGCTAGGTCTGGCCTCAATGGACTGCCCATAGCTACACCGTCGATCTGTTGATACAGCCGCCCGTTGAACAAGAACTGTGCATTCTTTGTGCGTGTCTGTAGTAGTTCCCGCAGTTGCTCTGGTGGTAGGTGTGTTTTACCCGCATGCTCACAAATTATGCCAATTGTTTCATCCAGTGGCATGTTTGTAATCAGGCTCTGCACGTCAAGCGAGATCATGTGTTTATTCAGTAGATTATGATGCTTCAGCTCATCTACGAAGGAGAAAGTATCTTTGGTAGTGTAAACGGAAAGGTTGCGTCTGACTGGCTCGATTTGTTGCACTAACCATCGGACAAGTTTATGTTGAGGTGAATTCCTCATTGATAAAATCGGTCGTAATGGTATCCCTGGTTTGTGCAATTTTGGCAATCCATATAGTCTGGGAATATGCGACCCTACAGGCCTAAAACACACAGCCATGTTCTCGTCTATTATTTGCTTTTCAAGTAACGATTTAACCTTTTTCCCAATAAGGTCTTCTAGGGCTTTTGCTTCTTCTTTCTCATGGGCTTCCGAGGAAAATTTGCTGCAGTCACTCAATATCGCTTCCATCTTTCTTACGTAATCAGTCTTGTTTAGGATCACGATACCGCTTCCTTTGTCAGGTCTTGAGATGACGACTTCAGTAATCTTACGTAGGTCAGTAAATACTGCATGCTTTGTCGCCTTTGCCTTATTCAATAAAGCATAATCCTCGTCAGGAAGACATACCATTATTGCCGCCTTTAGGGCCTAGATCTGCACGTTAGCTCAAAACAAAAAAAAATCGATCAACCTCCTGTAAATAACGTAAGTGGGAGAAGGACGCGCTAACGTCATTTTTCGTATTACCAGTTGTAATTATCGAAACCCGAGAGTGTTGTTGAAGAGGTAACCTGTCGATTTCTATGGTCTATTCGTCATTATTTAACGCCTGAGGTCTTCCCGCTTTGAAGTGTGCTATGGTGGGTTTGTTAAAGGAAAGGGAGCGAAAACAGTCGATCGAAACTTGTCTGTATTTGTTAGCATTTCAAAGAAATGAGGGTCAAAAAGGTAGATGTTGGAAAACGGACGGCTAAAACGGGAACCTGTGAACGCAGACACGCAATACTAATTAGTCCGCTAGTCCGATCACACAGCAAGGCAAGTGCAAGAAGCCTGGATGTCCACCGACCGCTCTGTCAACCGCCACATCAATTTGCCTCCCCCTTATCTGACTTTACGAACCTTCTTAGCGGGGGACAGTCACGGCGCGGGACAATCGGGGCCGTCAGTCATCACCGCGGCCGACGGGGGCGATTCAGGTCACGGTTACATGCGGGTTGGATGCAGCCACACAGGCGGCATTGGCGGATCACGCATTGGACAAAGGGCGCCATAATAAGGAGTGCTGTGCACAGGACCTCTCAGTCCCTGAAGATGAGTAGACGAGTAAACTACCCGAAACGTCGGATCTCAAATAAACCCCTCCCGGTGAACGCCCACTCTTCTTTTGATATGCCACCTGGGAATCGGATTTTCACTACTATTGATGTGAATTACGGGCGCGAAGCGCTTCAACTGGCTCGTCGTTGGGAAAAAACTGTCCTCCGACAGGCCTCGACCTATGCACAGCTCCATTTCCTTCACAGATGCCTTGCCAACTATGTTATGCCAAAATGCCTCTCCTACAAGCCTCCAGTCAACACGGAATTGGCTAAACAAACGGTGTTCCGCCATAGTCGGCGAATGACAAGGGTACTCATACAAGATTGTCACCTGCGACTTAAGAACTACGCACACAGTGCTGAAAACTACCGGATGCTTGTTACATGCCGGTGTGGGGAATCGACTGCCGCCTCATTGGAGAACACATTACTAGCATTGGGACGAAAGAAACGTGCTAACAGAGATGCGGATTTATCGATAAAGTTCATGACACTGCAGACCGCACAAGACCAGGAAACCGAACAAACGATAGTACGTAACCTCTCGTCAAAACAACTTACTGTGACCCAAACAAAAGTTCTACAACGTGGATCTGGTTTTAACACAACTGACGCCGACCCGGTCACCTTCATTGCTTCTTTCGAATCAGTGCTTCGTCAAACCGGCGCCACAGACGAGGTAAAGGACCTCCTTCGACATCAAGTCTCTTCACTTCTCATGTCGCACCGGAAAACCCATGCCCTGCTAAGAGATGAACAAAAGGCCCTAAGGGAGCTAAAAACGGACACCGAAATAGTTATTCTGCCTGCTGACAAAGGCCGGTCAACCGTCATCCTCGACAAGGTGGACTACCGACGCAAAGCCCTCCTGCTCCTCAACGATCGAGAGTCCTACAAAGTCAGCGACGCCGCCAGTCAAAAGTCCCTAGTGGCAAAGGTTAACAGAACTCTGGCTCGACTAAAAAAAGGACAAGGTCATCACCGTCAAAGACTGGTATATGGCAAAGCCCGCAGAAACCGCTATGGCGAGATTCTATGGTCTCCCAAAAGTACACAAGCCAGATGTTCCCCTCCGTCCTATCGTCTCGCTCCGAGGCACACCCACATACGGGCTTGCAAGCTGGCTATTTCAGAAGCTAAGATTCCTAACTGCAGGCTCACAAACAACGGTGCACTCAGCAGAACAATTCCTTGACAAGATAAGGGCAGTCACGATCGAACCGAATGAAAGGATGGTGTCTTTTGACGTCGTCTCACTCTTCACGTCCATACCACAGACCCTTGCGGTCGAAACGCTCAGTGACCTGCTACGTCAAAATTACGACGGAGGCGATGGCCAGCCCACAGCTCAGGATCTCATAGAACTCATGGGGCACTGCCTCAAGACATTCTTTACCTTCGAAGGGACCACATACGAGCAGATCAAGGGCACTCCAATGGGTTCACCAATCTCCGGACTCATTGCCGAGGCGGTTCTACAAAAACTCGAGAGACGACTATTCGAGGAGTACAAACCCAAGTTTTGGGCACGCTACGTTGATGACACCTTCGTGATCATAGACCAGGATAAAATCAACTACTATGCGGAAGTACTGAACTCAATCATGCCCGATCTACAGTTCACGATGGAAGAGGAAGTCGAGGACAAACTTCCATTCTTGGATGTTCTCGTCTGCCGCCAACCAAATGGCGAACTAGCGACGTCGGTCTACAGAAAACCGACGAACACGCTGCAAATTCTCAGCTACAACAGCAACCACCCGCCACAACACAAACGAAGCTGTGTCCGCACGCTGTACCGACGGGTAGAAACTCATTGCAGCACGCCAGCCGCCAAACTGAATGAGATAAAGCTCCTCCGAGAACTTTTCAGAGCCATTGGCTATCCACGGGCATTCATTGAACGAAGCCGGAGGCAGCCAAAGAAACGGAACGAGGAGCACAGTCAGCCAAACTCGTGGCGGAGCATTCCGTACATTAAAGGGGTCTCCGAAGTCGTGGCTCGATCACTCGCGCCACTCGGAATACGTGTTGCCCACAGGCCTGACTCAACAATCCGCCGGCAAGTGATGCGGCCGAAAGATTCGATCCCTAAGCAGGAGATGTCGGCCGTTGTCTACCGACTCCAATGCAGCTGCGGAAGTTGCGACTACGTTGGGGAAACCGGCCGACGGCTGCAAACGCGAATGCACGAGCATAAGTTGGCCGTGCGAAGGTTGGACCCAAAGTCGGAGGTAGCAACCCATGCCGCGCAAATGGGACACATCTTCAACTTTGACGCCGTTGAGATTGTGGGCCGGGGCGGCAATCACACAGCAAGGCAAGTGCAAGAAGCCTGGATGTCCACCGACCGCTCTGTCAACCGCCACATCAATTTGCCTCCCCCTTATCTGACTTTACGAACCTTCTTAGCGGGGGACAGTCACGGCGCGGGACAATCGGGGCCGTCAGTCATCACCGCGGCCGACGGGGGCGATTCAGGTCACGGTTACATGCGGGTTGGATGCAGCCACACAGGCGGCATTGGCGGATCACGCATTGGACAAAGGGCGCCATAATAAGGAGTGCTGTGCACAGGACCTCTCAGTCCCTGAAGATGGGTAGACGAGTAAACTACCCGAAACGTCGGATCTCAAATAAACCCCTCCCGGTGAACGCCCACTCTTCTTTTGATAGTCCGCTAGTGTGCAATACTTAGAAGATATGATCGCGTCGGTCCTGGAAAGCTCTATCTGCTCATCGCTTGGAAATCAATTTAACTCGGTTTCCAACAACCCCGCCAATTTTCAGCAAAAATCTCATAGAAGAAGGTGAGGTCGTTGGAACAAGAAGTTGATCGGCCTGCTGTTTCGGATTCTCACTCGGACCCATCGTCAGAGAAAGTTTGTCTCCGATGATGGGTTCAAGTGAGAATCCGAAATATCTGGTCAATAAACTTCTTGTTCTACTGATCGCATCTTATTCTTCTTCTTCTGAACTACTTCCTGAAACTCGCCTGTTTGCTTCTGTCGGCAAAGATCTCATAATCATTAACCGTTGCCTTTTGCCAGGTCTTTAAGCAATCGTGTCGGTGCCCAAATCAAATGGGCGGAAAGAGGGGATGAGTGCTAAACTCGGCAAAAGTCCCACGGAAAGGAAGTTGCGGTCTGGAAAGGGATGCCATAAAGGGAACTCGTCTTTCAGTGCTTACTGTGATCAGAAGTCCTTTCAGCTGTAGGTCTATTCACGCGAGTTTCTGTATATTCTGTCTTTTGCTGTTATGAGCCAAGCTATCGGATGACCTCATTCTGCACAAGATCACAATAACTCAGACTAGTATAAAAAGAAAACCTCTTGCCAAAGTATCGCGTAATGCCTGCGAGAAGCCATGTTATTATTCGAATCATAGTTATTTAAGACGCTGTATATAGCAATTGGTTCTGGCCTACAGATTCATGCGTTCAGTGAGTGTTCAGGTTCGTGTCCCCGACCCAGTCGTAGAGAAATAAGCCCACCGGTCCGGCTGTCTTGACTGTATTTGTAAGACTTGCAGTTCCAGCCAGTGGCAAAACATTAAAAGTTCGCTTGTTTATTTTTGAGCTCCGAGAAAGTGATACAGGTTTTATTTCAACGATTTCCTTCGAAATATGCCTAGTCAAGAAGGAACTCCCCAAAAACCTTGAAATTTCTTCAGTGTGGATTTACTCTTTGTCAGCTGCAGAAGCATGCCCACATAATGTAATTTTTAGCATAAGGAATCGCTGGGGGGAAGATTTCACCTTAAGGACTTCAGCATCAGATTGAATGTTGTCTGCTCGCTGACGGGCTTCGTCCAAGAATTGTGCGTTTTTCTTTCGATCCATCTGTTGAGCCCTCTTCAAACTGCTAATCTGGTTTTGGGCGTCATGAAGCTGCCTGGAAATGCCGGAACGAAAAAAAGTCAATAAGATCTCAAATAAAAACTTTTCAATAATATTTGACTTATGCCTTTAACATCAAGATAAGATAGTAATAGGAATTTGGCAGCACACTCGGCGCACAGCAAAGTTTATATTCACCGTGTTACCTACTGGTGGGATCCTCATTTCCCCAATATGACAACACATCCCAGATCTGGTGATTATACTCAATGTCAGTACTAACAAAAGTAAATTCCAGTGCAAAAGTCCAGTGGTAGTTGAAATTCACAGCTTACTATAGAATCGTTAAAAGCTACTCTTGGAGGCAGTGAAGAGCTTGCCACAGGAAATTATAACTTTTTCGAGAGACGGTTTTGTTAAAAACGAATATACCCAAGTTACAACCCGTTTGTTCGCTTATGCAGTAGAAAACATCGCAAAAACAGACCTCAAAGATAAAGTGAAGCAAAATGTATTATCATTGGTAAAATTCATACGTATAAACATCTATGCTGCAGCTTACCTCGAAAGGCTTGATTGGCGGCCGTTTTTAGTATTTTGGTTCACCCACTATCGAAACGAAGTTTGTGATTGCATAAAAAGCACAAACAAAACCTTCTATGATAACGCGAATGCAGTGCTTCCTTATGTACGACATCTATGTGTACACAAAACTCGGAAAGCGGTAAACTTAGACACTGTGGAACCGTCTACGCATCTACTAATGGTCGAATACTTTGCTTCAGATGCAAAGGGCCCTGCCACTCTATAGTTATGCGCTCGTATAAAGACTTGCGAAGAAGATGTGGAAGCACGTAAAAATGTTTGTTTCACAGTTCCTTCATAAAAACAACACCCTCATTTACAGTTGGCATATCGCATTCATTTGAATAAACGGCCAGCGAAATCTGTTATTTTGACACTATGCAGACACAGAACACAAACGCAACAAATGACCCTATTATACAAGTGATGAAAATGTAATACAAACATGTCAAATATTAATTCCAATGAAGATTCGGATATGCGTTTATATAGGAATATGATTTTGATTGGCCGCTTTCTTATGACAGATGGCCGGCAGCCTGAACACTTCTCGTGTGCTCCTATAACCAACGTTAAGAGGCCTTTAACTGCGTATTGTTACAAATATCTCCAAATGTTCGTTAACTGGGTGTAGCGTAAGGCTCGAGGGCTGACTGACTGGGAAATGTAAATGCTCCCCATGTCGCCGGTTATGAAAGCAGAAAAGTGCAAGAAAATTGAAAAACGAACACACTGAAGGTTCGCTTGACAATTTTCCCTCACATTTCTTCTACCCAATTCATAAAATCTGAAATTGGATTGTCTACTAACTGGGCATAAGTAGTGCCAATTTTTTGCCACTACAAAATGTGAGGGCATTAATGTGTTTCCTAAGCCCAGTTAAGTGTTTTTACTCCATCAGCCAAATCGCTTCCTGTTTGAAGTTTACCGATACAGTTCACGCTTGTTGTAACCAAGCAAGCGTGCATTTGAAAAGGAGGAGAAACTAGTTTCGAGAAAAACACTGTTACCGCATCGTTTGGCTACCTTATTGGTAAGGATACCCCAATATCCCTGTGCTCTTTAGAGAGTACTGTATATGTATGTTTGCCCTACAAAACTACTATCATCGGTAAATGAGGCAGGCAAACCTGACGACTTAAAAAACAAACAAAACAGATAATTTCCGACTGTAACTCTGAAGAAGATCCTCACAAGCCTATAGCGAAATGGTACGCCGTCCGTGCAAATACAGAGTAGACGAAACCGTACTTTATCAAAGTGACGAAAAGATCTACTAGGAATAAACTTCGATTTATCGAGAACTGCATCTGCGCTCAAGCCTAGGCAGTTGTCGCAACAGCGTTAAAACGCCGTTAAGCATTTTCTCGAAGATTGTCTGAAGCAATGTCGTTTCAGCATCTCAGCTCTACGTAACTCGTCAAGCATGCCATTTAAACTGCACAGGGCAGCACACGGCACTCGCAATTGAGCATACTCCAGCTATATCCGACGACAGAATGGCAGAAGTACACTGTGCATATTGACATACTGATGAAGAAGTTGCATTATGAGCGAAACGACCTCGTCGCTGTCTAGAAATCAATTTACCGGGGGTTTAATTTCGGTACACGGTCGGAAAATATGGCCAGTCAATGATAAGCTATTTGCTTTCTCTCGACTTGACGTAGTTACTTGAGGCAACCCTTAAGTTTGCTAAAAAAAAACGAGAGAAACACGAACCTCTGTGAGATTAAACAGTGGGAACGACAGTAAACAATCTTAATTCTAGTCGTAGTCGTACGCGATTGCAGACTATAGGCGCCGCACACGTTCTGATAATGTTATGAGTAGGATAGTTGGCAGTTTCAGAGGTTGCGTCTACGTAGCCACATAAATGGAAGTTATTTTTGTGACGCGTTTAGTAGGTTTTATGATTTTTCTGCAGTTCGTCCAGTGTATTGCTGCCATTTGAAAGTGGCGTAAATTGTTCCTGAACACGACGAATGTGCAATTATTTTTGCTATTTAAAGTTTTAACTGCATTTTCCCTCATTAAGGATATTTTTGTAAATGTATGCTGTTAGTAATACCCAGCTGCGTAACTGCGTCAGATGCACTTTAAAAATTTGCTGCAATCATTTTTCGGACGCCAGTTGCCATGCCAACAAATTTTTACATGTCCTTCCTCATTTAGGTGCATAGATGTTTTGTCCAATTACGATTACATTGCGAACACGACCAAAATTTGGAAATCCTTAGAATCAAGTGATCCCAAATCAAATGTCATGACCCCTCGTTAGATTGCTAGCAGTCCTCAATGTGATTTATCTGTGGGGTCAACACAACACTATATTGTTCGCCTGGTTTAATCTCCCCGCCACAATGGTACGCAATTATGAAGTGTTACCATGGCTCCCGCTAATCCAGTTACTGACAGGGAATTTCGGCGGTACACAAAGGAAGAAAAATGAACAAGTAGCCTTGATGTGCACATCTGCTTTAGTATTAAGACACTGCTCGTACTGGCGTTTGCACGACTCCAAGTCACGGGCGATTGGAAAATGTGAGTAAAAATAGAGTTAAGTAAACACATAACAGTTTGACAAATATGCGATGATATCCATATGTGCCATTGTTTCAATGCGAGAGTTTTCACAGATGTGAAGGGACAAGATAACTGTACTATGTCAGCAAATTCCGGCTATTCTTCCAGACGTGGAAAAAATAATAAAAAGAAGATACAGTCATAGCCTGTCGGAAGGTACATGAGACTCTGAGGACGAAACTGCAAATTAGACAACCAACATCGATTAAAAGCCATGGTTGCACACACGTTTCATCCAATTCAAAATGACAGCCCTTAAGTTAACTGAAGGATCTATTAAAACGAACATTCGCACTTAGCAGAAAGGTGCTCCCATGATGACTACTTGCTCCTCTACCGATTAAAGATGATATATTCATTGAAAACCCCCTGATTGATGAGGGGAGTTTGCAGTTATTTTGGACAAGACTCCTAATGAAACGAAGCCTTGTCAAATACAATGAAGCAGTGGTTAGGCAGCCACTGCACAAACGCAGAATAGCCCTCATCAATATGCACAATGACGGTTAGACATAAACAAACAGAACTTTCCCTAACCAACCAAATAGACTAGACTATAATTTGATTCTGCATGATTGTGAAAAAAAACCAAGTTATTTCTATGTACCACATTTTTTGTCGGTTCGCAACAAAATAGGTACGAGCTGAGGAGCTGACTGACTCCCCATCTCAAACTCCTAACCACCGTCTCAATTTAGACTGCTCCCTCAACCGAACACTTTCTAAACGAACCCAGTTGATTGTAGGTCAACGCAAGTGTCATTTTGAACTTGCAAATCAGACACATCAGATATTAAAAATGAGACTGCAGGGCTGTTGGCTAGCCGTTAATTGGATGCGCTTATTTGAAATAAGTCCCAAACAGTTGACTGCAAAACCTGAAATGTTGACCTCTTAAGATGAAGCATGCAGAAAAAAGTTTCATTGCCATTTAACATTGGCTCTTCGAAGATTCGCAGACCTCTCGAATTGCAGTTAAAAATAGTAAAGAAGGATAGTCAATTACGTCATACCTGACGGAGCCGGCATGCAAATCTAGAGCTGCCAGAGGAATCAAGCGCTATCGAAAAACTAAGTTGGAATTGTGTCGTAACAAAGGGGACAACTCACTACCGAATTTAAATTTCACCGCTATCTGCTTGCGTTCGTTCGACGGCACAGAGGTGCTCAAAAGGCGGTAATGATCAAAGCAGGGATCTGGCGGGCAGTAGAAACTTTTATCCATCTACTCTGACGATCCGCATTACGAACAATGCTGGAGGTGACAATCGGGCATTAAATCCTGAGGTCTAAGGAATTCCAGATGCATTTTTAATCCTTACCAGTTCAGGTCTAAGTTCCAGTATTAAGAAAACGGAGAGGACTAACAGCTTGTTATGGTTATGGAAGACTGCGTAAGATACAAACACTAAAACTGTGCCTCGAGAAAGCTTTCACTAGCCTAAAAGGTTGTTTGCGGTTTAATGAACGATTTTATATTCGTTGCTCATCGAGTAGATTATGGAAAACGATTTACACGGGGGCAGTCAACGATGTGAAAATGCACATCCCTTACTTAATCTAGTTGGTGTAAGGCAGCATTTCTCGACGATATGATGCCAGCAAGTAACAGGTTTGGAGAGAGATTAAGAAGCAACAAGGAATTAGGATGGATCTTCCGAAATTTAGTAATACTGAACACCTGTGACTGTTTTCTTTTTCATTTTATTTATGGTTGTACACGGGACAGGATACGAATGCGATATGAGTCATCATCCTTTATGGTATCTTCCCTTTTAACACTAGTGCATCATCGTTCTATTTTTTTGTATGACTCCTATTGTCGGTCTTTGTTTACCTCGTTCAGCATTGGTAAGAGCGGCACAACAAATTGCTTTTTGTCCTAGGAAACCTGGGCGTGCCACAACACAAATCTAAATTCCGAAATCGACTCCTACAGGGAAAAAATGCAGGCGCATTGCGCACGATGCTTTTAGTGCATTAATATGCTGACAGGGACATCTTAAAGTGCCCTTCCAGTCAGACGACAACCCATAAGCCAAAAATTGCCATTCCAATCTCCCTTGTCTTTATCTGTAATGTCATTCTGCCGATAATCCTGTCTTTTGTTTGCACTATGAGATTTTATGCACACGGCGTCTACCGTCAAAGATCGCTTTTTAGAATCATGGTTGCCTTCTAATTTTTACAGAGTGCAAGAAACGATTTTTGGGTTACAGGATATGTTGCCGCAGAATTTTGCGTCGGTATCTATCGTCCAGCGGGAGAAATAAATCTCTGATCTGGCACCAAGAAGGTTAACTTAAGGAGTACATGGGCACTCGCGAAGAACGCACGGTCGCTGGAAGAAGAATTTTATTTACCCGACGTTTCGAACTCACACTTGGATCCATCATCAGAGACAGGGTCAGATAAGGATAGTGTATCACACAGGTATTGCAGAAGTCATAGGATGCAATCGCTGTGTTACTGCATGCTTATCAAAATGTTCCTTAGTATAAACGTCCAGTACTGAAAAAACCCACAATATCATCTGATGGTTTCGAGGTTCTAATAACCAATCATAAGGGACTTAAAGCGGCGGAAGGAATATTTAAACGATTTTTACGCATCACTGATTGGCGACAAATATCTGCCGACTCTTTACAAAGAACAGATCGCTGCAGTGAGAAAAACCGTTAATCACATGATCTATTCGGAAAAATGAGAGCAGAGACCGCGTTCCAACAACTTGATTAATTCTCTGTGAATTTCCCTCGCCATCCTCAGACTCACATTGACTTGCACAAAAATGTGGCCTGAATTCGGTCGACAAAATTTGGCCAAACGTTCTCTGCGGAAGGAGTACCGACGACAGGGAGACCGGGGTGGCCGGTTCCAGTCTGCTAGCCGTTGTCAAACAGTCATCCCCAACCTGGGATTTAGATAACGTAGAGTTTAAAACCGATACTTTGGTCATTGAACGTTAAGTCCAATGGCAATGAAAGTGGAGCAATTAACGACGCGAATGTCGGTCATCAAACAGTCAGCACACCAAGTACGACGATCCCGGATGAAGGGGGGAGACGTGAATGTTCATAGGTAAGGGCTAGTATGGCGACTGCATCCAACAAATACTGCAGCCCCTTGTGTATGAACAACCCCTATCTGCTTTTGCCTCTGATGATGGATTCGGACAGGAATCCGAAACGTCAGGCTAATAAAGCTCATGTCCCAGCGATCGTGTCTCCTTCTTCACGTGAAGTCCATTGCTCTACCACTGAGTCACGAGCCTGTTTTTCTATCGGTTAAAGTGGGAAGTATAGAGAAGTCGGGAAGCTTCGTATGAAACATTCTTAGTCTTGTTGTACCCTGTGAGGCTATCTAAAGCCTTCCCAGGGAGTCGCGTAGTAACTAAAAGTATATTCACGGAGCACCGAAAAAGACAAGACGGAACGAGCATGTTTCAAAACCTGATTGGTAAACGGACCACCTAGTCATAAAACCTAGTCTTTTCAGTTCACCGTTTCGTAAATAGCATAATACAGATATAAAATGCATAAAGAAGGCCACTTTCAACGTACTCCTCAAGTTCATGTATCTGATTGTCCTTGTCCAGCTTCTCTGAATCGGAATTTCTGATCATGCTGAGAAGCCGATCAACCTCTGTCTGCAGCTTAGACGCTGACTCCATGTAGTGATTCACTTGACCTTCGAGGTCGGAGACTATCTTTGAATATTTCATTTCCGATTCAGTTGTCACCTGCTTCTGAAGCTGATTCCGGAGGGGGTGGAGGAAGGAAAATAAGTTAGATCTGAATTGACCTATCGGTTTTGCATTAAAGTAGTGCACGCTGAGGGGCTCCGACCTGAGACTTCACATTCTGTGAGTGACCGATCTCATGAAATGTTGACCGAAATTCTGAAAGGCATTTTTGATTAGGAAGGATTACTTGGTCGCGGTTGTAATACTGATTTTCTTGGGGCATATTCTTATAATATTTCGGACTTGGCAGGATGTCAGCTTTTGAATACACTGCTTTTCCATCCCCTATAGAAACTGCAGTCAATATAAAATGACTACTTAAGTAGCATGCATTTTTCCCATTGATTTTCGATGAGATTTTTAAAGACCGCGCAATGTCCATTCACATATCATCGTACCTGGCCGTTTACCACTTCTCCTCATGAAATGTACAACATGGTCCGCATCCATTGCAAAATTTTATAAACTCTGTATGATATCTCTTTAATGGTATAGAAAAATATGTGATTTTCTTTACGCGGAACGATGCACCTTGTAGACTGAAACCACTAAGCGCTAATGCAACGCCTGATCAGGCTCCGAATTATTCGTGAATGACAAAACTTTTTTAAAACCTAATAATACTCCTTCTTTGAGCATAAAATATGAAGAAGACGTGATTCTCTATTGATTGACTAAAAGAAAACTTATTTTCGTCCATGGTTTCTATAAGATATATTTGAATTTGCAAGACCATCGAAAATCAATGGGAAAAATGCATGCTATTTAAGTAGTATTTTTTTACCGAGTACGGTTTTTACAGGAGATTAAAAAGCAGTGTATTCAAAAGCTGACATCCTGCCAAGTCCGAAATGTTATATGAATATGCTGCAAGCTAATCAGTATTACAGCCGTGACCAAGTAATCCTTGCTAATCAAAAACGCATTTCAGGATTTTGGTCAACATTCATGTGATCGGTCACTCACTGTACAGGTGACACTTGCAAAAACATTTCCAGTAGACACGAATTAAAGTCGAACAAATATGCCGAATTACGGCTTATTTCGTTCCCAAGGAATAGTCCTAGATCAATGTTTTCGAATGATAATCATTTTAAAAGTATTTTGGAAGTTTTCCCTAATCAGTTATCGGCTGCAAACGTGTTGGTTTCAGCACAATTCACAAAAATAACGGATTTTGGTCTCGCTGCATTTGAATTTTCGAAAGTGTTGACGAAATTGGGTCATACATTTAAAAAGGTTAGCGCACAATTGATTCAGTTGTTGACCAACCACGGTTAAAATATGGTCCGGTAAATTTTGAGCAGGCAACAACTGCCGCAACGCAATACGATGGTCAATACAATGCACCAACGAGAGGCTTGACCGTTCCTTTGGGTGGCTGTCTCTTTCAGCGAATCAAAAACTGGACAGCGACAGACCTAAGCATAAAATGTTCTTCAGGCGAGGATTACTCACGGTTTGGAACACAAAGACACTTTGGCTCTCACTGCTACGACCAATATTGAATGAGCTGGATGCGGGATAACCCTTAAATGGATAAAAGCCCGGGAATCCAGTCCGGAGGCCAGCAGAAACGTCTAACTCATTTTACCTACTAGGCTGTGCGTAGTCTCAACGGACGCAAACCAGTCCTACGACTGACGAGTTAATTTCAGGCTGAGGTAGTCATTTGAGGGGCAATAAGCGGAGCCAGTCAGGTAATCACTTACATTGACTGTTATTAATTCAGTCACTCTTATTTCTAAGATTTGTCTAAGGAACCACTCAGAAGGCTCACATAAATAAACGACTGCCTCTAAAGCCGTAATTTTATTTCCACAACAGTAGTAACACACACCGTTTGTTTGCTACCTTCACTCTTCATTCCATTATTTCCAGAGAGGTTCGTAAGTCGATATCATAGCTTAGTTTGTTTTGATATTTTAGATGAGTCTACGCAACGCTCGACAAACCAACTTGAGTAACTCTCGTCTTTTTCGCTTTTCTGATGAATGTCACGCGTCGTTCCGGCATTTCTCATTCGAAGGCTTCATGTGGCCGCAGTTTCCGTGTTGGATAGAGCGACAGTTTGATCGACTGAAATAAAACAACCAGTAGCGAAAACAAATACCAACTTTTCAAATGTCTTACCATCTGCTTTTCCAGCTTCAAGGATGATATTTCAGCGTCTCGCTGACCTAGTTGCGACTGCAGCTGACTGATTTCTGTGTCACGCTTGTACCGCACGCTGCGCAACTGAGCCATCTCTTCACGCAGTTCGGCCAACTGGGCCGTTTTCTCGTCAAGGTCACGCAACGATATGTCTAGTCTGGAGCGCAACTCAGATTGGAGTCGTTTCTGCGATTCCATCTCTTCATTGGTCTCATTTTCCAGTCGCTGAAGATTCTCTTTGAGGCTGTTTATACAAAAGGAAGTTACCATTATAGCATAAGGATATTGCAGTGTCTAGATAAAAGAACGATCTATAAAAAGAGTTGTGAATGGGTGAATAATCAGTTCAATGACATTTCCCAAGAAGAAAACCAGACATCGCAGGTGTTTCAACGTTGCCTGAGGAAAACTGGCAGAGAGATACAAAGGTTGAAATCCAGTAGAACCATAAAGTTGTAAAATATTGACAAATGTGTTCGATTGGAATGGTCTACGCGCTTCTACCTACCCATAAAAATGAAGGGAAAAGAGAGGTTTGGACTAGGCAGTATATAACTGACCTTTTCAATTGTAAGCTAAAAGCGATTAACCATTGTTTCGAGAATGCTTTTCGACTCTAAATTCAATACAACCAGCGTTTAATTCAGATTAATTGTTACACTATGAAGTCCCGGACGTATATCAAGTTTTAAATTCTACAAAAATGACGTCATCTGTAAAAATCCCACTCGAAGAAACGCTTGTGCAAGCAAAGTCCCAGGAAAGCCTAAAATCTCTGACACAGTGAATTGGAATAAATAACTTACTTTAGGGCAAATTAATCATAGCAGAATACGTGGAACCTGACCATCCCTTAGACCAACGCCGTAGTCTTCTTTGGCATAACTTCATACTGCACAGTTAACTGGACAGTCACATTGACCGGAATTGTAAACGGACTTACACCAGTTAAGCTGTCAGCCAAGGATTATCAATCAGAAGCCGCCTAGAGTCATCGAATAGAAGGAGCTGAAGCCAGTTGAGGAATGATGATCAGTTGCACTATGCAGGCCTTATGCCAGTGGTCATATCTGTTTTTCATAATCTCAACTTCTATTAATAAGCGCACAGTGGCTTACTTGGCTAACAGAGCAAACAAGCAGTAACATTCAGTGGTACAGGTGCTTACCAACTTGGGCGTTAAGTAAACAAACAAAAGCTAACAGAATTGGAAAAAGCAGATGGGAAGGAGAGATAAGACACCCACTGATTTTGGCTTGGGCATACCAGACTTGCTCTTGACCAACATTTAGGATCTGCGTAAAAAAGTCATTCAGACCCTATACAGGTTTAGGAAAGGCAAAGGTCACAATCATGGTCGCGGATGAGAGAAAATAACTAGCACAACTACTTTACTAAACGACATGAAGAGCCACACAGAGTCTGCGTTAAGTCCAAATGGGAAAATATTGCCATTTCACGGGGCGCAACGACTTTCGGCTCTGATGCAAAGCGCTAAAATTCATCGAGCGTCCCGTGGATTGAAAGGGCAATAGAATAGGACTCCTAATGGAAGAAGAAAGCAGTACTCACAAGATCCGTACAGCCTCGCACTTCCGAAGACAGCTCCACTGACACAACAATGACTAAAACTACAGCACACAGGCTACAACGGAAGTCCAATATCCACTGTCAATCCTTCGGCATTATGGGTAATAGCGGCACGCATAAACAATTTTTGCGAAAACATACTCCATCTTACTAGGAAAAAAGCGTTGAACCATGACCGTTTAAAAAATTGTCGAACTAGTTGCCCCATGAGAATATTACTATGAGAAAAACGTTTTAGTCAGAAATTTTTGCAAAAAATTTTCCACATCGAAATTGGAAATTATAGTGCAACAAGAAAAGCCACCGTTTAACTTTGATGATGGATATTTTGCGAGGTTTTACATACTTAAACTCGATGCCTCTAACATTTCCGATCATATGGACTATCATTATGCTTACGTACTTACTGGACAGCTCGCATTACGCGCAAATAACGTTCTTTTTTGCCTCTGATTATGATTTTCATCAACATTTAGCAGGTTTTGAAATAAACCTCGAAAGACAAAATGTCTAAAATTACAGTAGGTGGGCTAACTCATGAAATGTCAACCGAAATTCCGCACTGCATTTTCGCTTCGAAAAGATTAATTAAGTAGAGTTGTAAAACTAGCCAGCCTGCAATATAATTCTATAATATTTCGGTTACGTCAGATGCCGGCTTTCGAGTGAACTTCCTTTCGGCTGCATTTAAAACTACACACTGTAAAAAATGACTAATTATATAGCATGAATTTTTCTCATTAATTTTCGATGCCCCTAAAAGTCTTATTATATTTCATGGTAAACATACATAGGAATATTCATTCTTTTGCGCATTCGGTAGATACTTACGTCTTTTTTTTAATTTTATACCCGCAGGGGGGATACAATTCGGTTTTAAAAAAGGTTTACAATTCCCGAATAATTCTAAACCCGCTCTACCGTACACTTGGGTTCAGGGTTCCCAAACTACAAGTCGTATATTTTCCGCGTACGGAAAACCACACATTTCTCTACGGTAATAAAGGGGGACAATATAGGATTCATGAAATTAAGCGGTGGATTTGATTCATATTGTAAACTTTACAAGCCAAATTGTTAAATGCAGAGATATGACGATGTATGAACGGCCATTTCATGGTATTCAAAAACCCCACAAATAGAAACTTTTTTAAAACCGAATTATATTCCTCCTGCGAGTATAACATTGGAAGAAGACGTAATTATCTACCGAATGCGCAAATGAATGAATATTCTTATGCATGTTTTCCATGAAATAGTATTGGACTTTTAGGGGCAGCGAAAATTAATGAGAAAAATTCATGCTATATAAGTAGTCATTTTTCACAGAGTGTAGTTTTGCATGCAGCCGGAAGGAAGTTCATTCGAAGGCCAGCATCCTGAGGTAACTGAAATATTATAGAATTATATTGCAGGCTGACTAGTTTTACAACTCTACTTAATTGATATTTTCGAAACGAAAACGCATTTCGGAATTTCGGTTGACATTTCTTGAGTTATTCCGCCAACTGTACAGTAGAAACGAAGAGGTAAATTAAAGGAAGTAGTCACGAAGACGGAGACACGATCGCTGCGACTACGTGCGATGGGCATGGGAGCAGATCATCTTGACCGACACACCGATGCATGGCAACTGCTGCTACAACACCTGACCGGTCGGACCGTCATGCACTCGGAAACTGCCAGTTATGATAGACAAGTAGCGACCTAGCAACTACACCCTACAAATACTGCAATACTTGGGCAGTCCACTTTTCTTATGCAAGTTTGTCTTTGAGGATAGACCGGACGAGAATCCGAAACGTCAGGCTAATAAAGCTCCTGTTCTAACGACCATGTATGTCTCCTGCCTCGGGAGCTAAAAGCTCCATAAGAGGGCCCTGTTACGAGACGCTCAGGCCCTCTGGGAGCCACTCATCTTGCCTGAGTGTCAAAAATAAGTCATGTACATTTAACGGAGTTGTAAATGTCATTATTCTGCCCTGAGCCAGGAAAATGGGTAATGATTGGGGTCAAGGCTGATGACCTTGACATCGGCGTGTCACCAAGACGTTCCCCTCCCTCTCTAAACAGTGCGAAATGCTAATATGACTGGTATGAGATATTTGGATGCCCGGAAGCTTTTGGTTTTTGATCGAACCACTTGTCAGAGTTGGCCACAATATGTCTTAAAAGCATCCTTCCCCTGAGTTTTGGCCGTTTTGTACCCTTAATAACCTCTTCGAGTGAGACTCGAGTGAGACCCGATGTAATCAAAGCTGTTATATCCCTGTTTACATATGATAACCGCAGTTCTTGGCTAACAGTGATTAACGCCACAAGTAACGCCACCACGCTCTGCGATTATCTAGTGAGTGAAAATGTGAAAGTAACTGCTGCCTTGAGCAGTTACAATTTATTGACAGCACAGCCTATATTAAGGCAAAAAACTCATTTCCCGTTTTATAAAAATTAGACCCGAGTTTCAGCTCCTGCGATTATGTCCCGTCGTGGATTATTTTATTCCAAGGGCATTATCGAGGAAATATATGCAAGCGGATTTCTCGAAGACGAAATAATTTTTAAGGATGCAGCCACTGGGGGTTTTTGAATGACGCCTGTTACCGTGCAGTGCTTAAGCACAAGGAATGCTCACAGAGGACTTCGGGGGTGAATGAGGCTAAATCCCACCAGTGTGGGTCAGTCTGGGTCAGAAAGGTGACCTCGGGTGAAATCCGCCACAAGGGAGATCGAGGATTGCAAAGTGATGCCAAATGGGAGGCAGAAGATACACTCAAACAAGTGTTCCTCATGAGTAAAAATGAAGACGACTGGTCGATCAACGAAACCATTAGAACTCGTCTTACTCAGTTCACCATGCGTTCTCCATCTGCGATTATAATGGGCATTTTCTCACCTACAATACTGAAATTTAATTCACACAGTTTTCTGTTTCTTTGTTTGTCTCATTGTGTGTGCAACTGACGTCATTTATGGAAAAAAAACGCAGCCTTAGCACCAAATTTCCTTTTTGAAAAACAGCGCTTTTACGGATAAGCTTCATCAGATGATTTGCATTTACCCATAATTTCTGTCCGCTTCACTGCAAGCGCCTTCCTAATCGGCTGTACGGACCTGTATTCGACAGCAACGCGACCGCTGGCCCACCAACTGGGTTCACACAACGGAAGTAGTTTTACTACTTTAAAGCTTATTTTGGCTGAAAACCCAAAGAGCGATTGCTCACGAAAAGTCTTAACTTGGATTTCT